ATGAAATCTATAGGCTTTATTGTATAAACCCATCTATTAATGTACTATCATTTCCTAGGCATAACATAATTTATGATTTGTGAAGTTTGACCGTTGACCGATTTCTTTAAAAAGCCACGTAGAAGTCATGTAAGGACGTTTAACGGGGTTCACAGGCAGGCAACAATTATTGTTAAAGAACTATTATTATATGCAAATCGCGTTAATGAGATCTATCATTATATATGCTTAATAATTGATCTTTTATGCTGACCTTGACATCTGGAGTCCTGTCGCATTCTTAATTCGTCATTACATTGCATTATTGAGAGCTAATTGGTTGCATTAGAACACGGGATGGTAAAACATGTCTGTTGGACAGATTCCTTTTGTAATGTTAGTTCTGCAATCAAAGATTAGACTGATTCAGTTAGTGACAATTTCAGGGGGTGGGATACATGTTTCAGTATAGATCTCTAATATTACAATCAATGCAACTGATTCGGGATTTTGCATGTTGTCCAAAGTGTCTATAAATATATTCCTTGCAAGCCTGGCTCTCTAAAAAGTGGATATTTATTGGCATTCTGAAAACTACTACATGTAAATTTTGTGCAGTTTTCATGAAATGGTAATAAAACATTATGGTTTTGAAAAAAATTCCAATATTAAGAGTATTTTCTATGCTGTTTGCGTGCAACTTATAATTATTTTTCACATAACTGGAATATTGTTTTTAATTAGAACAAAAAGCCTATGGACCCGAAATGCACCACTGTACATAAAGCAGGATGTATACTCTTAAAAAAAGGGATATTGAAATGCAAATACCTATGCAGGTTGTGATATGATAAATAGTCATGGACACCTGACATGTTTTGAGAATGTGAAGAACTTATCGCGCCAACAGAACCTCTGAGCTGCATGTGCGACACGCAATAGCGCCATACACGTGGGAGGGGTTCATGACATTGTCAAATTTGACTCTTCAAGGAAGGGTTGGTGAAAACTGCCGCTTGCTGTTTTATCCTATCCATGTTTGCTTTCTTATCGGTTCTTGCGTAAGATTTACTGTTTAGCGTATCTTTGCTTTAGTGTGTTACGTTTAATTTGATCGGGAGATGTGTTCGTCGACGTCAAAGTCAACCGACAACACTACAAGAATTGGCCGTGGCACTGCAAGTGAAATGGGGCCGTCAGATAAGCCGCCCATATGAACTGTTTATGTTCATGTGTAGGCAATTGGCCTGTTATTACCATACACTGCTTCCCTTTAATAAAAACAGCAGTGCATTTCCGTAGTTTTGTATTGTTTCTGAATATCCCCTACTTTTTTGAAGAGTATATACCAAAAGGGCCATCAGTTTTGCAGTTATTGTTTGATTTGATTTTCTTCACCGACATGTTGCCAGAATATATGGGGAGAAAATAATAATAGTCTGGAGGCTCAGTGCGGGGGGGGGGGGGGGCGTGTCCATCAAATGGGCACAAAACCAGACCCAACTTTTCTAGAGTAAAATTTTGCGTAGAATACGATGCCGAGTGGTAATCAGGTCGCCGTTGGGGCGTTTTCGAGATATTCCGGGTCAAAGATCAAATGAGTTCATTTGCACTGAAAGTGAATGCGCAGTCATTCTTGTATCATGAAAATAAGCTGAAAATGATCGAAAGTAATCACACTTTCAATAAAAATGTAAACTTTCTAATTCCTACGCTGGTATCCCACGAATGTAACAGTAATAGTGCGATCTATTTGTTAATATACACCAATGGATAAACAGATGAAACAAAATAACAAGTGACGCAATGTGGGTGTTAATGTTTTTAATTTTTTTTTTTATTTTCAAGTAAACATATAATGTTAGCACGTTCCCCCCACACAAGATCGGGTTAACATTCTTTACAGAAACGAAGTTGCTTTTTAGGCGATGTTTTGTGAGATCTATAGGCTATAGCATGTAGGCCTTGTAATAGTTAAACGTAAAATGTTTACGTGAATTGAGCTGAAAATCTCAGACTAAGGTATAGGTGGTACGTATTCGTCGATTCCCGATGCATTCAAATCTTCCTTTATATACTATTAGACGTTGTTTCGAAAGGATAGCTTACTCCGGTGTCACCTTTGGCACATGAAGCCAGATCATCCATATTGAATCTAAAAAATATGTGCTGCTAAATAATGTAAATTAAGTTCATTAGAGTACATAGAAAAACCTGAGAAAAACGACACGGTGACGGGCTGAACTTTAAATGACCATAACTTAAGTTAGCTTTGATTGATTTGAATACTGATATGTGGAAGAATATGGCCCAAAATAATATATGTTGAAACTAATGGTATTTTATTTTATTGTATAGGCCTACGATAAAGTAAGTAATTTTTAAGTTGAGTTTTAAAAGGTTTTCAGGACCCGAAATACAATATTACTCAAATTCCAGTCACTCCAGGTGAACAAATACCATTCCAAATCGTCCAAGCAAGTACTTTCATTTTGATACAACATCAACCCGGTTCAAAATATGGGTTGAAGTTCAGATTTTAGTATAGTATGTGTTACATATTTGTATAACAATTAATTTTAATAGCAAGGTTTGGATTGTGACAAAATAATAGGCGATTGTTTAATATTATACAAAGTTGACGTACACAACCAACTCTACAGACGTCAACGTCACACGCCATTTTGTGAATAATAAAATATGGTTGTCATTAGTATAGATACAAACACACAGCCACATAACCTGTAATGGATTATATACAGAAGTCATGTAGTCGTAACGAGCTTTTTGATTGGTATGGAATGGAATTTATTGTTATGATTTAATTAAAGACGTAATAGGCCTCATTGACATCAAATGGTTGTATGTGTAGTGGATTTATATTAAACTCCGCTATCATACACATAAAAATATCGTAGACTTGATCCAAAAAATATTTACTACGAAAACAAAAATTAATGAGAAAGAGTATGGATTAATTGCTTAACAGCGTGCGCGGACCCAGGTAGTTTTGAACGGGGTAGGGTGGGCGGAGTGGTGGTGGTGGTGGTGGCGGTATCGACCATGTGAAACGAAATAAAATGGGGATTAACGTCCTATTCTTCTGCGGGGCGACTAAGTGACAAAGGGCATATGTCTGTTCACCGAGCAAATAGACATGAAAGTTGCTGCGCCTAGTGCCCCAGTCCATAAAAAAAAACACCGGAGAAATTTTTTAAAAATTGAGAACATCACAGGAAAAAACTAATAGCACTTCAATTGAACAGAATATACAAACATAAATATGATTTTTAGTAATGTTCTTTTAATGCAAAGAATATAAGCGTTATTTTATCTATTGAATAATACGATGCCTAAAGCCTTCATGGATAAACAAGATTATCAAGCGGCAGTGTTTTGAATGTTTTTAACGTCATTGACGCAAGGGTGGTAACAACTAGTTTCTAATTTGGGCTAGCACTTCAATTGAACAGAATTTACAAAAATAAATATGATTTTTAGTTGTACTTTTAATGCAAATAATAAATATCCAATAAACGTTATTTTATCTATTGAATAATACGGTGCCTAAAGCCTTCATGGATAAACAAGATTATTAAGCGGTAGAGTTTTGAATGTTTCTAACGTCATTTCTAATTTTGAGCTTGAACCAGTAATTGCTGCCGTTTTTGGTAACATTTATTGTCTGCATTAAAACACAACTTACTATGTCAATCAAGTGACTCTCAAAAATGGCATTTTATTGTTAAAGTCTGCATGAGACTGAAGTGACACCGAAAAACATATTTTATCAGCTTCTCAGATGCAATGTACATACACCGTAAAATGTGTCATGAGTAAAACGTAGCCCGGGCAGTGGCAAGACAAGTAATATATATGTAAAAGTTAAAGAAAATACAATCTTAATCCAAAATAGGGTTATAGGCGATTTAAACAATATTTTATAGCTTAATTTGTCGAGAGTATATTTACATACTATATATAGATACACTAACAAGCAATGCCGCGTATGTGAAATGCGCTCCATATAAACATAAAATTATGCAAGAGCTAAATCTGCCTATTGTAGGTCTTTTTAGGCCTGAAATGTTATCTAAATTAATAACTAGACATTAATTAACTTATCCAGACCATAATCAACTTTCGATGTCATCACTAGCCTGCGATATTTACAGGATTTGAATCCGATTTGCTGCTCAACGCTCATTGATGATTTAATCTAAAAATCGATAATCGAGACTATGTTTTATATTGTATCGACTTTAGTAATGATGATCGAGGCTAGGCCTAAAATCCAAAACCTAATATCTCAGTTCAGATTGGATCAATTTGACTGAAGTTTTCAACAAATTCCCTTTACATTATCTAGTTTTTAACTATTATCTCCCATAATTCCCAGTGCGCCTCCACCCTTGTGATTTCCTAATCAATTAAATTGAAGTGTTTTAGATATAATTTGGAAATGGATTCCCACTGCAAAGTTGCAAACATGTTTCTCAAATATATCTTTGACAAAACATATGGAGGCAGACCACCATTAAATTTTTTTCTCCCCTTTTGAATGCCCATTTTTGTTTATTTTTTGGTCTAGAATGTACGAAGAACATTTTCTGCCAGGTTTTGGTAAATATTTATGATTTTGAGGCGGAAGGATAACAGAGTTATCGGGTTGGTTACGGTGATATGTACGGCAACTAGTTACATGTTTTAGTATGCTTCAAGTTTGTGTATCTCAAAATTTTGGTGGTCAACCTCATACAAATTTTAGTGCAAAGACATGACCATTTGTTCCTCTGTCTGTAGTGAAAAGCATTCAGCCCAACGAAAATGTGGGGAAAAGTTGGAGGTTGGCAAAGAGGCCAGAATTAACATTGATGTCAATGGGGAAATTAATGGTGGTCTGCATTCATATTAAGAAATTAAGTAGAGTTATCTCCCCTAAATAGTTCACATGGCCAATAACCTATTGTTATTGTAGCAGGATTGATGGACGACTGACTATTTATATATTACCTTTCCAGGTCGTGGGTTGAACCAAAAGAGACAAGACAGGAACACAGCTAAACAGTTTATTTAAAATAAACAGAACACGCACACAGGAACAAAACAGGCGATGATTTACAGAAAGAAGAACAAGTAGAAGATTAATGAAATAATATAACTAAATTGGCAAATATACTCTTAAAAAAAACCTAGGGGATATTGAAATGCAAATACTTATGCAGGTTGTGATATGATAAATAGTCATTCACACTTGACATGCTTTGAGAGTATGTTCACAGATGAAGAACTTATCGCCCCAACAGAACCACCGAGCTGCATGTGCAACACGCAATAGCGCCATATATGTGGGAGGGGTTCATTGTCAAATTTGACACTTCAAGGAAGGGTTGATGAAAACTGCCGCTTGCTGGTTTATCCTATCCATGTTTGCTTTCCTATCGGTTCTTGCATAAGATTTACTGTTTATTGTATCTTTGCTTTAGTATGTTACGTTTAATTTGGTCGGAAGACGTGTTCGTCGACGTCAACGTCAACCGACAACACTGCAAGAGGAGTGGGTCAGATTGCCCCAAATCGTGATTGGACGGTTGCTTAGGAGCATGCCACGACGAATTGCTGAATGTCTGAGGATTGGTGGAGCAGTTACTCATTATTAAGACAGAAATAAAAAAAGTCCATTTTCACTTTTGACAGTGTATCTCTTGCGAGTGAAATGGGGCCGTCAGATAAGCCGCCCATATGAACTGTTTATGTTCATGTGTAGGCAATTGGCCTGTTATTAACATACACTGGTTACCTCTAATAAAAACAGCAGTGCATTTCCGCAGTTTTGTATTGTTTCTGAATACTTTTTTTTGAAGAGTATATATACAAAAGCATATAGCTTAGATATAGCTTCTAATAACTAGTAACTAACTTAGAGATATATTGCCTAATACAGGTTATTATAATGAAGCATTTAGAAATATTATACATAAATAAAATAACGTATAACAAAATGAGAAATTATCTAGAAACATACCCTGGTGCTCTTATTAATCGAAGAAATAGAACTAATGTATAGTGAAAATCAAATACAGGTTACGAAAGAGCGAAACAATAAAAGATAAAACAAACACCAAATAAGACATACATTTTAAAATATAACTTATTACTTATTTAAATTGATTATACATGTATTATTCTATTTGTAACTTCTATCAGAATAAAACAGTATTTAACTTATGAAGGAATTGTCTTATATTGTCATGTCAAGTTAAACAAATATGAACCTACCTTGAAATAAATGATTAATTGTGCAGTAACTGAGTAAAGATGTTGAAAGTTGAACAGGTCATAAGAGAATGAAGTCAGTAACCAGGATCAACAAAGCAGGTTTCCAAGATACTGAAATCTATTCACTATCTTAAAATAGCATCTTTAAACTATAAACTAAAGTAATTATAACCACTGGAAATAAAAGACTATGGAAACAGGACAATGGAAACTGGCTAAATATTTAAGGGCAATATAAACACCCTACTAAAATATTTAAAGAGAATATAAGACCCTAGTACACTATACATTTTCATATTTACAAAAACTCAACACAGCGCTGCTCACTATCTGGCAACTAATAAACGCCCACTATCACCAAGAGTGTTATGATGTATTTCAGAGCAGCAATAACTAAATCTTTTGTAGGACCAAGGTTTTAATATCCCGTTGCAATATCAAAGCGCAACTCTGAATTTCGATAAGATATTCTCGAAGTCTACCGAAGTATGCCTGCAGGTTTTCCTGTATAGCGTTTATAGGGTTTCAATGTGTCACTCTTCCCACTGACAATCCCCCAAAAAGTCAAAAGCACCACTGACCCCCCCCCCCCCCCCAAATAAAAGTCTTAGCAAAAGAACAAACTAAAGTTGACCTTTAGTTTTTACGTTGACCCACATAAAATATGCATTACTATAATAAGCCGTTTAGTTTAATCAAACCAAACGTTTGAATGGTTAACTTTTAACAAATATGAGTTAGTATTGTAAACTCATGCAATAATAAGCTACTCAAGAAAAAGTAGGCACAAGAGCTGTTAATGACGATAAGCTCAGTCTGAATTTTTAAGTGTTCGTTTAATTTGTTCCCAAAATAAACCTTCATCGTCATCCCATGCGATGTAAGTAGTGGATTTCAATAAAGCGTTCAAGGATTCGCTCATATTAACTGTTGCTATATTCTCTAGTAATACGACTACTATTGACTCTATACTCATATCTATAACTAATTTCTGGGCTAAACTCATTTCAAACTGACACCATTTACTTCTAGCAAAATCATTGGACAAAACAACAAGAATTTTACGACTGTTCTCCATATGCTGTACAATATTATCCATGATAAGTCTCCCACCTTGAAAATCTCTTTGGTGGATACACAGTTTAATATTTTCACCCTCTTCCAAGATAGGTACAAGATTATCTCTAACCCAGACACTATCTTCTACACAGTACGCAACAAACACGTCATAAACAAAATGTTTCTCTGCAATATCCAATAACTCTCTGGGTCTGTATCTCCACATATAAATATGATATTTAATATGCCAGATATATTTGTAGATAACGGACATGATGAAAATAACAAAGATAAAGAAACACGTTACTGTTGTCACAGAGATAAACACTCCTGTATTGTTCAAACATATTCTTTCTGTGATATTAAGACACTTGTAACCGTACGGGTATTCATTGAATATGTGTGTCTCTCGATGAATCCATTCGATAAACCAAACTAATTCACAATTACATGCGAACGGGTTGTCGTTTAATGTTATGTTTTTCAGCCTTTCTCTAAATGGTTTGGGAAACATTTTCGGTGTAATCTTTTGAAGTGAGTTTTTCTTCAAATCTATTTCTCGCAAATCGTAATTTTGTTCAAAGAAATTATCAGGCCAGGACGTGATTGCATTGAAGCCGATATCTAAAAGTCTTAATTTGTGAAGCTTTTGTCCTATAACATTAGGAATTGTCGACAAGCGACATTGGTGTAGCATTAATTCTTGAAGGGACGTTAAAGGGGCGAGTGCGTCATTTAACTTTTCCATGTTATATAAGTTGAAAGGATTGGCGGATAGTTCCACCTTTTTTAGCTGACTACATCCAGCAAATGCATCTTTATCCAATCGACTATCAGTTAACAAATTCTTAGCCAGGTAAAGTACACGCAGGTTTGTATTGTTGAAGGCTCGCCTTTGTATACTTAATGGGCTTGGACTCCTCTGTTGTTCCACAGACAGCCAGTGTAGAGACTTGAATGAGTGGAAGCTGTCCGTTTCAAGAATTTCTATAGAGTTAAGCGTCAGATCTAAATATAGCAGATTCTTTATACAGTTCAAATAATCGGGAAAAAACGAACTGATTTCATTGTTATGTATTATCAAAGTATTCAAATTGGACAAAAACGTTTTATTTTCACAAAAATTGGGTAAATCTCGAAAGTTGTTTTTACTTAGTAAAAGAACTCTGAGGTTCGGGCTAATACCAATCATAATAGTTGAGATTCTATTGTACGTGAGACTTAATTCTTGCACCGGTTGAACCGTTGATAGATTAACATGGCGAATATTATTATGTGAAATATCGAGTTCGGCTAACCTCGCCAATTTAAAATCCTTTAAAAGATCATACGGAATGGTTTCTAATTGATTACCCTTCAAAAATACACGAGACAGGTTGCTATTTCTCGGCACACCCTTGAATAAGTTACGCAATGAACTTGTAGTCAGTTTATTATAGGATAAATCCAGTACATAGACCTGTGAAAGATTTTGCCATACATTTTGATCAATATGACGAATATGGTTACGTCTCAATGACAAATATCCTATTTTACTGATATTTAAAAATGTGGTTGCATTTAGAGAATGCAACTTATTATATTTATAAACCAGTCTTGTTATCCGTTTTGGAAATATAGGAATGTAGGTAAGATTCCGATGTGAACAATATGCCGTGTTGTATCCACAGAGACATAATTTGGTTGAACAGGCATCCTCACCTTGCACAACCGATGAACAGGTAAGTAGGATTATCACAAGAAACATATCTTATTTGATTCTGAAAAAAATGTTAAAAAAATATATAAAACAACACAGTAACCCTTTTCTATGCAAAATATTTTGATCTTGAAATATTTGGTTATGGAGCGTTACAGTAATATACAGATTGTGATCGGTCGACTCAGGATCAACCTACCAATCAAATCCTGAAAAATTCTGAAATCTCATCGGGATATTTAATTTGCTTTCAAGGCTTTTTTTTATTGCATCGTTAACATGGTTTGTGTGATGGGAGGAATATAGCGCCCTTGTAGTTCACCTATAGGTTAATATTGACATAATGATAATTGATAATGACCACACCGTGCGTTCTTGTAGACATTCCTTATGCATTAAGCTCGGCATATTAATACAATGGCCATGCCGTATGGGTTGCTGCTCGTTATTAGTGTGTAAACAGTTTTATTCAGATTCGACATACTAGTCAAAATGACACGGGTGTATAGATAATCATTTTAGCAAGGGAATTATCAGTGAGCAACACACCAACATATACCTGCAACTGGTTCAGTGACTCAAATATCAGGTTCTACAATTTTGAGGATAGCTTTGGCACCCAGAGAGTTCCTAGAAAAATGGACAAACTGGTTCCATATCAGTACACAAGGATAAAATCTTTGAGACTGACCCATCACGTAAATGACATCTCTGACACATTCACGTTTAGAGGCATTGTTGTTTTTAAATGAAGGGATCGCGCTTAGACTTCCCAGACATCATTCCGCCACAACGGGTAGATCTTAAAGTTTGTTTCCACATCAGTTGGCTCGGGTTGAGACTGAAGGAAACATAGTTTATAACGTATATATGGAATAGCATAGCTGTATTTGTAAGCTATTTTGTTTTGTGTAATTTAAACACGTATTTAGAACAAGGCGGTTTTCCTTGAGTTTCATTATATTAAAAGAACACGGCGTGAAGTATGAATATCTACGTGTATATCGATGTCAGAGTTTTGGAGCTGTGACATAGGATCGATAGTGTTACACATATCGAATTAGAAGCCGGTGACTAGGATAGATTGCACTGAATTTTTTGAAAACGGTAGTGCATAGGATAGTGTTATACAATTACTAGAGACTGGAAAAGCTAGAATTTATAAAAACACAAATTACTCATACCAACAAAAGTTTCGTTCGTTTTGCTTTTATTAGCTCTTTCTTCCTTTTTCATGTCTTATATGGACTGGGGGGGGGGGGGATTTCTGATCTAGTATCACAGGAATGAATTCGTATTTACATTTTCAGCCAGGTTTCGGTGATAGCCAGCGGAAGAGCAGATTTGTGATGGTGGTGAATGCCGCCATACCATATTTTGAGGAAGTAGAAATTTAAGGTAGTAAGTAGTATCTGTGGAAAATTTGGCGCTTTTTTTCTTGAACGTCCACATCAACATAGTAAGCCGCCTAACTATGAATACTTATGTAAGCAAAGCATTGTATATCAAACGTCGAAAGTCATTTTATTTTAATATTTGATATGATGTTACAAAATTATTTTATTAACCTGTCTAATACTCCCACAATCTTCATCATTAACAAGGGATATCAGTTTTTATTTGAGGTCCCGTGTTCGATCCCTGCATTGGCCGGCGTGGCTCCCCCTTGTTAGTGATGCAGGACAGAGTGCCTAGCAAGGGATAACAAATAGTCGTTTGGATGGAAGGTCTCGCGTACACATTGGCGTGTACGTCAAAGATCCCTCGACAGCCCTGCTGTCCGGTCAAAGTTTTCCTCATAGCACACTATATGGCGTATGTCCGTCTTCATTAATCCATGTCCTTGTTTATTTGCTATGTTTCTACATTTCGCATGAAGAAATGATATAAATAACGATTTGCTTAGTGCAATATCACCCAGGATGATATAATTATAGTTAATAAATAACACAATTATGTGAATACCGACTTTATCTAGACATTTGTGTTGGTGGTGAAGTGTTTAATATGCAATGTAGACAGTCATTCACTGCATATTGTCGGTCGTTATAATGCGGCCATTTTGAATCGGGACAGTCTTTTCCCACCCTGCTCCAACTGTGCGTATGAATTGTACAAAGTTTCATATATGGTCTTCTTCGAATTTAAAGAATATTTAACTACATTAATTTAGCTGTCAAAGAAGTCAATGTATCAAACTAATGTTAAATATTTAGATCTCGTGTCGTGAAAATATTGGAATGGGCGCATCTCTTGTTAAATCTTATAGTCTGTAATACTGATGCAAATTCGGCACCGGCAATTCATATATGTAACAGGAGCAAACACAAATTCGATCAAATGTTAATAGTTTAAAGATAGTTTAACTTACGTGCAAAAATTGTCTTGTCTTATTAATTTGGTCGACTTAAAATTTCTGATATCCGCTATCTTAAGTGGATTATACTGATAACATCTCTACTTCACTCATACTATCTCGTTTGAGTTAAGCTGTCGTAAATATCCGACCAAATATTTTAAAGGGCCTATGGCTCTATTCTTTGGAAACGTAAATGGTTCTAAAAACACATACTAATGTATTACGAGTGTATATAAGATGATTTACAACTTTTTAAAAAATTTTATGGTAATTTCTTAACAATTAGGTTCGGTTAAATACGCAAAGTCTGAATTAAACGTCAGTAGTTTGTGCCTGCGAAGTCCTTTCTACACTAGTTTCTTTCATTGTCTTATGGGATGTTATCCGTAGTTCAATACAAATAGCGCTCAAATCCATCCATTATCTCCATAGAATACCCGACTCGTTTACTGATTTTAAAATGTTTGTTTATTGATATTAGGATCCCACATTTTCACAGTAAGATAACATCATTATTATTGATTGAAATAGATTAAATCTGAATTCGAATTCGTATTTTAATTTCGAATATTATGGATGATATTGAGTTAGAGGTTTACCTACTTAAACAGGCATTATGTAAGAGTTAAATCGGCCTTTCACAGGTGTTTCTTTGGACCTTAAAAGCTATAGTTATTTATAGTAATTATACATTTATTAACGTGGCAAGACGACAATCAACTCTCGAGATGGCTCCGATTTTAAGGAGATTAGAACGGTTCGGCCATTTAATGATTTAATTTAAGAATGGAAAAGCAAGGCTAAGGCTCGAATGACCAGTGCAACCATCTTATCAAAACTACAACCATTAATAACTATGCTCAAAATAAGTAATTTGAATGACTTTTTTAATATATTCATCTTGCAATTAACGTTTCGTCGTTAGGCTATAATTGTTGTTTTTTTATTTGATGGATATGATTGTACAGTTGCCGGACTGCAATCTTTCTACGTTTTGACTGTGAACGGACAATACCTCAGTCTTTAAACATAGCAAACCTTGGATTTTCGATAATCATGCTAGCCTAAAGTTATTTTCACATATTATTCAAAACAATTTAATTACATTCATCTTCTTGAATTTGATAAAGATCTCTTAAACAACGCTAACAAGTAAGGAAATAAAGTGTTTATCATAACATCCTGGGTTGATGATTCAGACCCGGGGATGCAGTAGATAACGTATTATTTCCGCATTTCCTGTATGCATAACAAGTGCCTGGATACAAACATCTTTCAAATACCACGGTAAATTGAACTCATCATTTGAACCCTTACATTTTGTTGAAACTCCTAATTAGCTAGCGAGCATAGCATGATAGCGAAAGAGATCCTACAATACAAATAAAAGCAGAGGATGTCGCGGATAAATGACGTGTTTTGTTGAATGTGTTGTAAACCTAATACGAAATATACTATTCAAAAAAAGTAGGGGATATTTGATTTTGGGGGCATAATACTAAAATATGCAAATGACTACGAAAAAAGTCACTATAGAACCTAACAGAAGAAACATTTCCAGTTACATGTGACGCCCAAACGCACCAATAGCTACCGCATGGAATGCATGTGATGCTTGGGATCATCATGGGGGTCCAACCCAAGATTTGCACGACTCTGACTTTGAATGTTACAGTCATTGTGGCATTGAATTCCAGGGTGGAAACATCAGTTTAATTGTTTTAGTGACCAGAAAACAAATTTTGATATGCGTCGGCTTCCCAAAATGAAAGGTTACGTGCCCTTGGCATGCTACAGATCGGCACAACACAGGCGGTTGTGGCGCGGACGATGAATGTTTCTCAGTCTGTCATAAGCAGGCTATGGTCCAGATACCGTGATACACAATCTGTACAGGACAGACCACGCTCAGGTCGACCAAGGGCGACAACTCAAGCCCAGGATCGATTTATCCGTACCTTGGCCTTGAGAAATCGTGTCATCACAGCAAATCAGATCAGCGCTCGTCTTCAAACAGACACTGGTGTGAGTGGCCAGACGATTCGGAATCGACTGCATAGGGGTCACCTTCGCGCCCGACGTCCTCGCGTGATCCCTTGTTTGAGAGATCATCACAAAAGGGAAGACGTCGTTGGTGTAGGGATCGTCAACACTGGGATAATCGACGCTGGAGCAATGTGATGTTTTCAGATGAGTCAAGGTTCACTGTTGATTTTTTGGACAGACGTAGGAGGGTGTGGCGTCGTCGAAACGAGCGCTTCCAAGACGTTAACGTCATCAGACATGATCGATTTGGGGGTGGTTCTGTTATGGTGTGGGGAGGCATCACTGTTGCTGGAAGAAGGGCTTTACATGTTGTTGCAGGGCGTGTTACAGGCCAGTACTACCGGGACAACATCTTGGCAGTCCATGTTGTGCCGTTCGCACGACGTCATGGCCGCCGTTTCATCTTCCAGGATGACAACGCAAGATGTCACAGGGCCAGGATCGTTACAGGTTACCTCCAACAACAGAACATCACCACATTACCTTGGCCAGCACTGAGTCCCGACCTCTCCCCCATCGAGCATGTCTGGGACATGCTTGGACAGAGGTTACGTCAACAACCTCCTGCCAATGTCCAAGAACTTGCTGCTGCGTTGCAACGGGAATGGGACAATCTGGACCAAAATGACCTTAGACGTCTCATTAGGAGTATGCCACGTCGGATCAATGCTTGTTTGGCAAACAGAGGAGGATTTACCCGTTACTGACTTGGTTGTGATGCTGTGGTAATTTTGCTGTTTGACCCCGGGTATCATTTTACCCTTATAATGGTCAGTCTGTGCCTTACTTAGTCTAACGATCATTTGGAATAAATCGATGAATGTGAACTTCATTTCATTTTGTCATTTGTTTCTTCGTCAGTTTCATTAGGTGACTTTAATAACACTTAAAAATCAAATATCCCCTACTTTTTTTTAATAGTATATAATATTGCCAAACACAAAAGTGAAAGTGATGGCACTGGTTCCTGTGACAAATTTGTCTCCAGAATACTAATTTAATAATAGTGGTCTCTTATGTACCAGTCGCACAGTCAAATATTGGACGTTTTCACTCTTAATTTTCGCTTTTGGTTGTTCGAATTTGTAGAGAATAGACACATGTAGGGTAATCACCGAAGTAAAGAAGCTAAAACCCATTGATTTATCAGTCGTTCCCAAAAGCTGACTATACCCCCCCCCCCCCACACACAATAACATATGTATTCACCTCTTTTCAATATTACTAATGTAATGGTTGCGCTTGGTGCTTAAGGATTCAGCGCCTGTCCAACCCCGTGGGTTTTCTCCGGGTCCTCCGGTTTCCTCCCACTTCTAAAGACCCCTACGTGCAAGCGAATTATTGAAATAAAATTGAACCATGTGTAAGTCCCGAAATACCTAGTTTGTGTTGAGTGGACGTTAAACCCCATTTCTCTCTCTCTCTCTTAAGGTTTCAGTTTTCCTTCCTGCATGACAAAACCCCGTAAAAAGGTGGGGGCGTAGTCGGTAGCCAGGAACACGTTTCATCAGCAATATGTTATAAAACGCCATCCCCTAATACCGCCTTCTATACATTTAATTTATTATTTTTTATTATAAAGCTCCAAATATTAATAGTTTGAAAGTACATTTCTGCCTTTCACCCCTTGATGCCTCGTGACAGTAGACTCGCCCATATCGATACCGCCCACCCCGAAAAAAAGTAATTAGTGGGGCCTATTTATATTTGCTGTGATACTAGGAAGGGAATTTTGGAATGTAGGTAAGATTTGTATTATAACAATGTGCTGTGAACTCTGACACAATCCTGACGAACAGGCATTTACTATTCCGTTAAGTTTCAGACGTTGGAAATAGTTTTTGGCGATATACGAATAACATATTCTTTCATAATTCATTTACCAGCCACTCTAGACTCAAGTATTTTTTAAATTTAGTGGAAAGCGAGTACGAGCTAAATCTATTGAGAATATTTTTTGAAACGGCAGCACATGGCGAAATAACAACTTTTTAAAACGGGTGTAAATATGTTTCTGAAACAGTTCCCTAAATATTTGAGCTACAATATCGATAGACCCTTTGGCTCTAAGTTTATTGTCAATATTTGAGCTACAATATCGATAGACCCTTTTGCTCTAAGTTTTTTTGTCAATTTCAGCAGTGAAATTTGAAAAGATGAGTCTTTAATCGAGATTTGAAGATTGACAAAGAAGTCACGAATTCAACTGGAGGTGAATTCCATCTTTTAGCAGCAGCAACAGCAAACACTCTTTGTCCAAAGCTTGCAAGTTTCCACTTTGATACCGCTAGTTGATTGAGATTGTTTGAACGCAACTATCTTTCTGGAAAATATTGTTGCATTTATTTGCAGAGGAAACCAAGAGCCTCTACGCGACAAATTGATATGTTAGGCAGAGTCTATCCGGGCACTGACTGGTAACCAATGATGGGTTTGGAGAACTGGGGTTATGATGGCGGTATATTAGATTCAAAATTCTAACGTGCTATCGTCTAATTTCTAACTTCTGTACATGTAATTTTTAACTTCTATTCATGTAATTTCTAACTTCTATTCAAGTAATTTTTAAATTAAGGCAGTGTATAATTCAACTTCTTTATTTGTTCAGTGTAAATTTTAATTCTATTTCATCTTACTTCTATTATTTAGACGAAAAACGTCTTCTTCATTGATGCCTAACACGTTTAGCATGAACATTAACGAATTTAGACCATTCTGTTGATATAAACGACTCGCTCTTCTTCGTCTGGTTGATGGTTGGACGGAATGCTGAATTTGAGAGAGAGAGAGAGAGGGGGGGTAACGACCACTCGACACAAACTAGGTCATTTCGGGACTAACATATGGTTCAATTTTATTTCAATAATTCGCTTGCGCGCAGGGTCTAGCAGTAGGAGGAAACCGGGGAACCCGTAGAAAACGCGAAGCTGAAATTGAAAACAGCATCGAACGTGATATGGTTGGCAAAAACTATTTCAAATATAAGCTAAACAGCCTTTTGGTTTTTTTTTTTTAAATTTTTGGGGGAAGACAAGTGAACGGTTTAGAGAATTTTATTAGGTTTTTTTTACAGTTAAGCCAACCATATCACGTTCGATGTTGTTTTCAATTTTAACACTCAGCCAAACCATTCAACCTGACGAAGAGCGAGTCATTTGTGTCAACATAATGATCCAAATCAGGTGCTCAATCGCCAAATTGAGCACACGGTGGCGACACCAAACAACGTCATAATGAGGGCTGTTAGGTAGAAGTATCAAAATTCTAAATTAGCTCGATGTTCACGATTAACATGTAAAGCAACAGTGAAGTAGACATTTTTCGTCTTAATAATAAAATTTGATGAAAAAGAATTAAAATTTGCACTGAACAAATAAAGAAGCTGGATTATACATTGTCTTAATTTAGAAATTACATGAGTAGAAGTTAGAAATTAGAAGCGATAGCATGTTAGTATTTTGAATCTAATATACCGCCATATTTATGTGACAACGATATGGAGATCTTGAATGCATGAATTATATATTAGAATAACTAATTAACAATGTTCGAATAATATATTAGATCAACTAATTCAATCATGGTTAAATGGACAATAAGTCCCGTCTAATTTCGAAACAGGAAGTGTTTATCTCCTAAATATTTGGGTTAAATCAGTTCTGACGTGTTTCGGTACGTCAGTTCACGCCTTGTCAACAATAAAGCTACACCATCAACTATTGAATCCAATACCTATTGAAGTAGAAAAAACCTGTCATTTTGAACTTTAATAAAACCGGAAGTTATACTTTAAGACCGAACTTTTTGCTATATTTTCATATATGCAAAGGTCAAATGTCATTGAATGGCTAGGTCAATAGATAGTAGGTCAAAAAATGAAAAAAGTCAGTGAAACCGAAGTAAACAAAATCGAAATTAAAAAATCGGCTCCCTAGTATTGTTACCATTTGGAGTAGGTTCAAAACAAATAAAAAGCTTTTGAAAATCGTAATCAAAATGGCGACTGAATATCGATTTGAAGGTTTTTTTGTAAAATCCAATATGGCGGTCAAACGGGTGAAAATGTTATCGAACAAGGTCTCTATATTTCAGAACTGGAGAGAACTATTCATGTTCGGGAAAAATGGAAATGCCTCGGTAATTTCCGGAAGCCGTCACTAATTTTTTTAATATGCCATTTTGAAGGAATCAATGTGTTCCTTATTCCTACTAAGACTAACGGAGATGCGCCATCTTGAATGTCCAAAAAATGCTGAAGAAAACTTTTGCAAATCTTTGATGATAAAACTAATTGAGCGAACTTCCGAATTTCGAAAAACCATCAGTCAAAGCTCATATGAGATTCGTCCAAAGAATCCAAAAATGAAAACCCGACTAAGATCCGTTGACAAATAACCGAGATATGGGGAAGCTGAGTTTATTTTTTGTCCCATCCGTAAAACGCTTCCTGGCGTGGAATGACTGTAAACACAGATTTTGAAAATATCGAAAAAAATATCGAGATGGCATGAGACAAGAATGGTTTTAATACAGGTTCGAGACATTAGCACAAACTATAATTCCACCAAGTTTCAGATTTTTAGGTGCCCATCTACCGGGTTCAACCGGTCGTCTTTTCGGTTTTCATGGCCAAGTAGCATCCGAACCCTACCAGTCGTCACCTGTAATATGATTGCATATGCGTAATCTACACACAAAGTTCTCTAAAAACTATCGAATTTGAGCCCTATATCTTCACTAGAAAAGTAAAAACTCGAGATATCTGAAACTCGAGTAAATTATTGATACACATTTTGTTTTGAAAACTTATCGGTAACTCATAAAATTCAAATGTCCGTATCTCAGTCAATGTTCAAGCCACAGACCACAAATTTTGCAGTTTCTAGTTTTTAAATGTAAAATAACATATTTTTTCCAGAATTTTTCGAGGGCGTCGATTTCCCAACTTTCTGAAAATTGACCCATTTGACATGGAATGACCCTATAATCAGTGCCATAATCTAGAAAGTTACGGTCCGATAGGCGTAAGTATACAAGGGCACCATGATTTTTCGTACAATAAAGGGCAATAACCCATGAAGTTAATGTCCGATACTTGCTAATATCGAAAGCAACCGATATCTTTTGGATATAAACCTGTACTTCGCTAAATGAGAGATATAACACTATCTTGACACTGTGAGAAACAATCATGCATCACGAAACAATGCAAGATTATTAAAATATGTCACACTTCAATATTTTCAATATGCTGGACCTATAGAGCGGGAGCCCAGGGGATCAACCTAGCGTACGTACATCTTCAGGTATTACAAAAACACTGACAGACATTTCCAGTGGTGGGGTATCATTGACAGAGTTATGTAATTGCCAGGCATTTGTAGTGGTGGAGTATCCCCGACAAGAGTTATCTAATTTCCAGACCACAGCTAGACTAGATTACTTAAAAACTGTACCACCTAAAACCGCGTTGAAGTTGTTCAATACCACCACAGATATCACGAATGCCCACTGCCAGACAGTTTATGCACTGGGTTACCCCTAACAGACACGCCCAAAAATGCCACGACCCCCAACTATGATAGATTAGCCGGCACTGTTCCCGTTACCTTTTTTTAAATTTAATTATTTCTGTAGTTTTGTAATCGGAGTTCAGCTTTAAGCAACAGAAGGCTGTATGCATTAACGGAACTTCTTCTGACTATATTTCAATTATTTACTGCCTTATTTATAATATTCACAAGGCCATTAAATGTAATAGCCTAGAAATATGGACCTGTTTGCAGATAATATAGTTCAACACCAGCTTTGATTATTCATCAGAAACGACCACTGCACACAATATTGAGATCTGGATGACTCTTCATTTTCTAACCTGACTAAGATGACACGTATCTGTGTGGCACAGTTTTATGTATTGCCGATTTCTCTTTGAGCGGCATTTAGTAATCGACTTACGTAATTTCCGATTTGTTTCGGTATCGGTTCGATGATTCATATGTGTACCTTGTATGCTAAAGGCACACCGTTTATATAAATCCCAAAATATAAAATAAATACCACATGTCGTACTTTAATAATACAAAAAGATTCATGGGAAATAGAACGAAAACGATTACAGAATTAATATTACTTTATTTGGCTAAACACATAAGCAGAGGTAACAAATGTAACCGTTTATATGGACACAACTTTTTTCAAGAGAGAGAGAAAGAGGGAGAGAGACAGGGTTTAAAGTCCAATGGACACAAACTAGGTAATTTCGGGACTAACGTATGGTTCAAATTTATTTCAATAATTCGCTTGCGCGTAGGGGTCTTTAGCAGTGGGAGGAAACCGCAGGACATGAGAAAACCTACGAGTTTGGACAGGCGATCCTACTCCTTGTCACGTACAACCGGGGAATCGAAACCACGCCAGTTGACTTAATGACAGACCTTATGATACAGCGCGCGCACGCTAACCATTCGTCCATCCACCCCCATTTTTCAATAAAAGTAGGCCTACTTTAGATTGTGTGCGATCTTGAACTTTATATATAAACTGTTTGGGCCTTAACAGAACAAATCATTAAATATACACAGAAGAAAGGGTATCACAAGACCCGATCGTTTATGCACCCAATAGAAGTTTATTACATAAATAAATATGCAAAAGTGCATTGCAAATTGTGACATATTCTGTTCTCCATAAATACAAGTGAAGGGTGCATGTCAGTGCAACATGTAACAGACCTCTTGAGTCATGAAAAACATGTTTGGGAAAACAGCCATTGCATTGTGGAAAGTTTCAAAATGGCTGCGTACAATGTCTGAACCCTGCATTTCATAAGGGGACTGCGGAATGCTCGGGTGTCAAAATATATAAATAACATAAAAAAAAGAAAAAAAAAGGATAAAACATTAACAATATATACTTGGTAATTAAACTAGATCTAAAGATTATACAATATATTGTTATACGCATGAATCCAAATGTATAAATTTATAAACGTCACTGAAGAAGATACATATTCTAGTAAATACCAACACAGTAAACACACAGCTATGTATAAGAAAACATTTTTCTGTGACGGTTCGAAAACAACCGATGCTACTTCTACAAAGCTCACAATATTTCGTAGATTAAAAAAAAATACCAATAGAATGAATAAATTCCTGTATTAAATCTATCTTCTTTTAAAATTAAAAAAAACCCCAAAGAAACAAGCGCGCTATATGAAATGAATAAATTCCTACATCAGACTTTTCTTTAAAGTCTTAATGTACAGGATCAAAATAAACAACACAGACCCCCCCCCCTTTCCGAGCTGCAGACATGAAATCAGGTTTACCTTCCTACTTTTATGCAGCAAGTCTTACCGAGTAGAATCTGTGTGTACTCTGGTTTGATCATAATTCATATGGGCGATTTACTGATGTTTTTATTTTATGCCAAAATACATCTTCCTCGCCTTCATCATCCCATGATATATAAGTAATTGTTTTTAATAGGGCATCTAATGATTTACTCATATTAACTGTTGCTATATTTTCTAGTAAAACGACTACTATTGACTCTATACTCATATCTATAACTAGTTTCTGGGCTATACTAATTTCAAACTGACACCATTTACTTCTAGCAAAATCATTGGACAAAACAACAAGAACTTTACGACTGTTCTCCATATGCTGTACAATATTATCCAGTCCTCCACCTTGAAAATCTCTTTCATGGATACACAGTTTAATGTTTTCACCCTCTTCCATGACGGGTAAAAGACAACCTAAAACCCAGTCGCTATCTTCTACACAGTACGCAACAAACACATCATAAACAAAATGTTTCTCTGCAATATCCAATAACTCTCTGGGTTTGTATCTCCACATATAAATATGATATTTAATATCCCAGATATATATGAAGATAACAGATATGATAAAAATAACAAAGATAAAGAAGCACGCAACAGTTGTTACAGAGATAAACACTCCTGTATTGTTCAGACATATTTTTTCAGTTATGTTGAGACATCTGTATCCTAGAGGATAGTTAAAAAACTTGTCTGGTGCTCGATGAATCCATTGAATTAACCAAACTAATTCACAATTACACACGAATGGGTTGTTACCTAATGATATGAATTTCAGTCTTTCTCGTAACATTTTAGACAACATTTTATTTGTAATAGTCTGGATTAAATTGTCCGAGACATCTAATTCTTGCAAATCAATATTATTTTTAAAGAAATTATCTGGCCATGACTTTATTTTATTCAACCTAATATACAAATACCTTAGATCATGAAAATGCTTAGCTACAACATTGGGTATAATTCGTAATCCACATCCATTTAGATCTAATTTTTTAAGAGTTTTCAGAGGAGCAAGCGCAACATTTAATTTTTCCTCATTTGTAAAGAAATAATTTTTAGACAAGTGTAATTTTCTTATATTATCACATCCATCGAAAGCATGTTCGTCCAGGTGTTTAATAGATAATCTGTTCCTTGACAACATCAGGGTAACAATGTTGCTGTTATTGAATGCACGTTCTTGTATAATAAGCGAATCTGGACTCCTTTGGGCTTCGATAGATAGCCAAATTAGAGACTTGAAAGAATGAAAAGAATCCGTTTTTAGAGAGACAATGGCGTTCTGACTCAAATCCAGGTATTCCAAATTTTTGATACAGTTTAAGTGTTCTGGAATAAAATTACCAATACGGTTGCCTTGTACTTGTATTTTCTGTAAATTTGGAAAGGAGGTTTGGGGAACACAAAAGTCTGATAAGCTATCAAAATTGTTATTATTAATAGAGATGTATTCTAACTGTGTAATAACAGCTGTTACCATTTTCGATATATTGTTATACCCTAGATTTAATTCTCCTAAATTTTTAATTGATCGAAAAGTTGAAATATTAAACTCTTCGATTTTGTTGTTAGATAAGTCCATTAATATTGTATCCTGGGATTTAAAGTTATCAAAAACGTCAGATGGAATAGCTTGTAAACGATTCTTCTTCAATGATATTTTTGAGAGTTGGCTATCATTCTGGACACTAGAGAATAGGTTCCGTAAGGAATCTGAAGTCAGTAGATTATCAGATAAGTCCAATGAATGAACATGAGATAGATTTTGTAACACATTTTCGCGAATAGTGTGAATCTCGTTATGGCTTAATATAATATTTACTATGCTTGTGTTGCTGATATTTAAAAATGTAGTTGGTCCGATATCACGAAAAGAATTATTCGTCAAGTTGATTGTTGTGATATTCCTAGGAAACTTTGGAATGTAGGTAAGATTTTTATTATAACAACGTGCTGTAAGCCTCGTACACTGACACAATCCTGTTGAACAGGCATCTTGACCATTCACAGATTGTAAACAGAAAACAAGGATAACGATGACCAACATCATAAAGTATCGACTGGAAAATAAAAATATTTATTGTAGAGACGGTTGACACAAGTAATCGAATCATTTGCTATATACCTTGGGGTCATATCTTACACCCAAAAGAGCAATCCCCACGGAATTCCATCAAATGTGGTAAAGAAATGGTTCTCCTCTGCCTACAAATCAGTCAGGAAGCTTTCGTTTTTATCAGTCCGTAATGCCTCGTTAACCGTTTAAGAAGTCATATTGTGTTTTTATTTCACATGAGAAAAATAACAAAAAATGATCATGACTTCTTAAACGGTTAACGAGGCATTACGGACTGATGAAAACGAAAGCTTACTGACTAATTTGTGGGCACCGGAGAACCATTTCTTTACGACATCGCAAGTCCAGAATACTCAAAGTAAGACGACTACATCACCACCCCATTATCGTATACAAAAACAATCTGAATTGAAGTTTTCGACGAAAATGCAGCCAGTTTGTATTTTTTTTTTTTTTTGTGTGTGATCGCTAAAGAATATTAGGAAACAAAACCACCGAAAACATGTCTCAAAGCCGTTTGGCGAATTATAACTGTATATCAGATAAAAAAATCCTCCTGATAGCATTTTATTAAAGCCTTCTCTAGGCTTAGTAAACATTTATTACAATAGGGGTTACACGGATAACCCCTATTGTAATAAATGCCTTTTACTATACCAATAAAATCGACACCTAACTTTAAAATTCTATGGATTTTGATCACCATATCCGTATCAATATATACTATTCAAAAAAAGTAGGGGATATTTGATTTTTAAGTGTTATTAAAGTCACCTAATGAAACTGACGAAGAAACAAATGACAAAATGAAATGAAGTTCACATTCATCGATTTATTCCAAATGATCGTTAGACTAAGTAAGGCACAGACTGACCATTATAAGGGTAAAATGATACCCGGGGTCAAACAGCAAAGTTACCACAGCATCACAACCAAGTCAGTAACGGGTAAATCCTCCTCTGTTTGCCAAACAAGCATTGATCCGACGTGGCATACTCCTAATGAGACGTCTAAGGTCATTTTGGTCCAGATTGTCCCATTCCTGTTGCAACGCAGCAGCAAGTTCTTGGACATTGGCAGGACGTTGTTGACGTAACCTCTGTCCAAGCATGCTCGATGGGGGAGAGGTCGGGACTCCGTGCTGGCCAAGGTAATGTGGTGATGTTCTGTTGTTGGAGGTAACCTGTAACAATCCTGGCCCTGTGACATCTTGCGTTGTCATCCTGGAAGATGAAACGGCGGCCATGACGTCGTGCGAACGGCACAACATGGACTGCCAAGATGTTGTCCCGGTAGTACTGGCCTGTAACACGCCCTGCAACAACATGTAAAGCCGTTCTTCCAGCAACAGTGATGCCTCCCCACACCATAACAGAACCACCCCCAAATCGATCATGTCTGATGACGTTAACGTCTTGGAAGCGCTCGTTTCGACGACGCCACACCCTCCTACGTCTGTCCAAAAAATCAACAGTGAACCTTGACTCATCTGAAAACATCACATTGCTCCCGCGTCGATTATCCCAGTGTTGACGATCCCTACACCAACGACGTCTTGCCTGAATGTGATGATCTCTCAAACAAGGGATCACGCGAGGACGTCAGACGCGAAGGTGACCCCTATGCAGTAGATTCCGAATCGTCTGGCCACTCACTCTCACACCAGTGTCTGTTTGAAGACGAGCGCTGATCTGATTTGCTGTGATGACACGATTTCTCAAGGCCAAGGTACGGATAAATCGATCCTGGGCTTGAGTTGTCGCCCTTGGTCGACCTGAGCGTGGTCTGTCCTGTACAGATTGTGTATCACGGTATCTGGACCATAGCCTGCTTATGACAGACTGAGAAACATTCATCGTCCGCGCCACAACCGCCTGTGTTGTGCCGATCTGTAGCATGCCAAGGGCACGTAACCTTTCATTTTGGGTAAGCCGACGCATATCAAAATTTGTTTTCTGGTCACTAAAACAATTAAACTGATGTTTCCACCCTGGAATTCAATGCCACAATGACTGTAACATTCAAAGTCAGAGTCGTGCAAATCTTGGGTTGGACCCCCATGATGATCCCAAGCATCACCTGCATTCCATGCGGTAGCTATTGGTGCGTTTGGGCGTCACATGTAACTGGAAATGTTTCTTCTGTTAGGTTCTATAGTGACTTTTTTCGTAGTCATTTGCATATTTTAGTATTATGCCCCCAAAATCAAATATCCCCTACTTTTTTTGAATAGTATATAAAAGTACTGGTATGCCCTTATACTGTATAGAATATTATGAAACAAAACCACTGAAAATAAACATGTCTCAAAGCCATTTGGAGAATTATTAAAATGGAATATCAACCCCTATTGTAACTGCAATGATATTTAAATAAACGTAAAGTATGTTCTCTGAAAATTATGTCCTCTGAGGATTTTGAAAATATTGTAATATCAACCCCTATTGTAATAAATCTGTCTAATTGAAGAGGGGAATTTAAAAAATGCAATCAGGGGGATTATTTTATCTGATATGCATAAGGAAAAGATGTTTAAAGTCCCCAGACGACGATATTTCAGAGAACATACTTCAGTTTTTTATACGTCCACATGTGGACGTATATTGCCGTCGCCCCTGTCAGGGTGTGTGGGTGTGTGTGTTTGTGTGTGTGTCGCCTACAGGCCACAATTCTTAAGTGATCATCTTGAAACTTTACATACTTATTCCTTATACCCTACGGATGATCATTATTGTTTTTGGTGCATGCCCGACCCCCAGGGGCAGAGCCACGCCCATTTTTTGTATTTGTTTGTGGTCTACAGGCCGCATTTCTTAACGTATCATCTTAAAACTTTGCATACTTATCCCTTGTACCCTAAGGAACATCCCTATCATTTGGGGTGCATGCCCAACCCCAAGGCGCAGAGCCACGCCCATTTTCTTTTTGTATGTCTGTGTGTCGCTTACAGGCCACAATTTCTTAATCAATCGCCTTGAAAATTTTTCGTATGAATTCAGATTTGGATCCAATTTGGAATGATCCAGCATAGGGTTGTAGTTGTACCTATATATATTGGTCCATGTCCAACCCCAAGGGGCATAGCCACGCCCAATGTTTGTGTTTTTTGTCAACATGCTGGAATTCTAAATGGATTTTCTTGGAGCTTGGCATATTTATTTCTTATACTGTAAGGATAGCAACTATTTATTTTGGTGGATGTCCCGACCTCCCAAGGTTGTGGTACCACACCCACTTTTTTGTTAGTTTTTATCGGTAAATACTTTACAGGTTGCAATAATTAACAGATTTTGTTCAAATTGAGCGTATCAATCATTTCAATAACAGGGTAGTACCGATTTTTATTGTTCCATATCCAACCCCCAGGGGCAGAGCCATGCCCAAATTTTGTATTTATCCTCTACAGGCTGCAATTCTGAATGGATCATCTTGGAACTTTGCATATTTATTCCTTATACCGTAAAGACAGCAACTATTTATTTTGGTGCATGCCCCGACCCCTTGGGGCAGTGCCACACCCACTCTTTCGTTAATATTTTGTCTGAAAATTTGGCAAAACAAACCCACAAACCCAACGCCTAGCCTTTTTTGCCTCTTGTCATATTACAACCATTTCATATTTCACTCTCTTCATTTTAAAAAGTACCATATCAATCAAAGCAAGAATGTGGACGTATATTGCAGCGTTAGTCATGCTCTCGTTTTAAATATCATTGATTACAATAGGGGTTGACATTCCATTTTATTAATTCTTCATTGGGTTTTTTTTTCATAATATTCTATACGGTATAAATTCATACCAGTATTCTTATATATTGATACGGATATGGTGATCAAAATCTATAGACATTTAAAGTTAGGTGTAGATTTTATTGTCATGGCTAAACACATTTATTACAATTATTACAATAGGGGTTGAATTTTATTAATTCTCCAAACGGCTTTGAGACATGTTTTCGTTGGTTTTTTTTCGTAATATTCTATACGGTATAAATTCATACCAGTACTCTTATATATTGATGCGGATATGGTGATCAAAATCTATAGGCATTTAAAGTTAGGTGTCGATTTTATTGTCATGGTAAAACACATTTATTACAATAGGGGTTGAAAGAAATTTTATTACAATATTCTAGCCCGTGAATTAAGCAACCTCAAAGTTTCCAATAGGTTTGCAACCGAAATCCCACTCTATGTCCGAAAAATGTCGCACGAAGTAGAGTGGCTCCAGACAAAATGCTTTGATCCATAGTAAATTCAGTACAAAGTCGAGGTATTCAATTAAAAGAAAAGTAAAATTAGTGTTTTATAAGATTTTGGGCACTTTATTTAGCCTACTAGAAGAAATAATAACATTTTTTTTCACTTTACCCGGCTGCCCGAAAGTTAGTGTGGGGGGGGGGGGCAGCCCACCCAGCCTCGTACGCCTATGGTTATCTGGCTATAGCACTGCGCGCCCCGGTAGAACATAGACCGTATTGCCTATAATGTTGTCCACCTATCGTTATCTCGCCGGAAAACAGTTGACATATAAAGTTTATGTCATATCATGCTTGTTATACATTTTGTTATTATTTTTTTTTAGGCGTGGGAGGTGGATGGCCGAATGGTTAGCACGTGCGCGCTGTATCATAAGGTCTGTCGTTGAGTCAAATAGGGTGGTTTCGATTCCCCGGTTGTACTGAAAAGGAGTAGGGTCGTCTGTCCAACCTCGTCGGTTTTCTCCGGGTCCTCCGGTTTCCTCCCACTGCTGAAGACCCCTTGTGTAGACAAAATGAAATGAAATGGGGGTTTAACGTCCTACTGTTCTGCTCCTTATGGGCTAATGAAGACGGGCATACGCCATACAGTGTGCTATGAGGGAAATTTTGCCCAGGCAGCGACACTATCGCCTACTCTTATATCGAATTCCAACTGCCAGAGGATCTTTTACGTGCATTCCAAAATATACACGGGACCTCGGTTTTTCGTCCCATCCGATCAACTAGACAGCTGTCCTTGTCAGGCCCTCCGTCCTGCATCACTGACAAGGGGGAACCACGCCGGAAAATCCGGACAAGGGGATCACGTGGCTAAGTGGGCAAGACGGTGGCTCGCTAGCCTGGAGGTCGGGTGTTTGATCCCTGCATTGGCCGAGAAAGTTCATCCAGATTTTCCGGCGTGGTTCTCCCTTGTCAGTGATGCAGGACGGAGGGGCTGACAAGGAAAGCTGTCTAGTCGTTCGGATGGGACGAAAAACCGAGGTCCCGTTTACACATTGGCGTGCACGTAAAAGATCCCTTGGCAGTTGGAATTCGATATAAGAGTAGGCCGTAGTGCCGCTGTCCGGGCAAAATTTCCCTCATAGCACACTGTATGGCGTATGCCCGTCTTCATTAGCCCAGGTTAGAAGCAGAACAGTAGGACGTTAAACTCCATTTCATTTCATTTCCCTTGTGTAGACCTAATGTCAACCCCAATTGTAATCGATGATACAAAAGTTTATGGATTTTGATCACCATTTATTACAATTATTACAATAGAGGTCGAGAGAAATTTTATTACAATAAGAGTTATACCGTGTAACCCCTGTTTTAATATCAACCCCTATTGTAATAAATGTGTCTAAGTGTAGAGAAGGATTTAAAAAATGCTATCAGGAGGATTATTTTATCTGATATGCACACGGAAAAGATGTTCAAAATCCTCATACAACAGATATTTTAAAGAACACACTTTACATTTATTTAAATATCATCGATTACAATGGGGGTTGACATTTCATTTTAATAATTCTTTTTTTGGTGGTTTTGTTTCATAATATTGTATACGGTATAAAGGCATACCATTATCTTATATATTGATCAAAATCCATAGACTTTTAAAGTTAGGTGTCGATTTTATTGGCATGGCAAAACACGTTTATTACAATTATTACAATAGGGGTTGACAGAAATAACGTTAAACCCCTATTGTAATATCAACCCATATTGTAATAAATGTGTCTAAGTGTAGAGAAGAATTTAAAAAATGCTATCAGGAGGATTATTTTATCTGATATGCACACGGAAAAATGTTCAAAATGCTCAGACGACAGAATTTTCAGAGAACATTTTAATAATTTCTCCAAACCCGTTAACAGCTTTTAATCATGTTTTCGGTTGTGTTGTTTCATAATATTCTATGCAGTATAAACGCTTACCATTACTCCTATATATTGATATTCAAATGGTTATCAAAATCCATTGACTTTTAAATTTAGATGCCGAATTTATTGTATGGTAAAATGCATTAATTACAATTATTACAATAGGGGTTGATATTACAATAGAGGTTAAGTAAAATTTTATAACATTTATTACAATAGGGTTTGATATTACAATGGGGGTTAATTGAAATTTTATTACAATTATTACATTTATTACAATAGGGGTTGTTACTACAATAGGGGTAACAGAGAGGTCCTATATGGTAAACTCCGCGCCTTTCGGGCATTTCATCCGTATGCCTTAGCAGATAGGCGAACAACATTATAGGTAATGCGATCTAGTTCTACTGGGGAGCTCAATGTTATAGCCAGATAACGACAGGCGAACAGCATTATAGCCAATAGGATCTATGTTCTACTGGAGCGCTCAATGTGATAGCCAGCATTTTGTTGACATTCATTGTGGAATGGGATTGCGGATAGCTCCCTAGATGTTGAACCCCCACCCCACCAAGGCCACCCTATCCACGGCTTCTAGATCAGCTACTGGATATACCTCTATCAATAAAATAGAATAGAATATGCATAATATTACTCAAAAAGTATTATCGATAATAATTATTATTTACTAACCTCTCTACAACTAGTCACACACAACTATACGGGTGTCTGGGAACGAAGATCAACATCTAATATACACTGTGAAACAATATCCTGGTTTCAATAAGATTAAAGGGTGACTAACTCATTGAATCCTGTTAACGAATCATGTGATCAAAACTATCAAATGCTTACTCAATTTGCATTATAACCCAAACATCTATATAAATAAAATCTGGTATGACATGTGTAACTAAAACACGTAGATTGTAAGCACAGGCACTTGAAGGGATTAAAATAAAACTTCTTACTACTGCTTGACTATATATTATAGTATATAAAAGGTATTTCAGCCGCCATCTTTGTTTTCACGTCTTCAAGGCATTACGTCTGATAACATCTCACAATACTCACTAGTTCTAACACTACCCGTCGTTTTTATTGCCAACGAGACCTTATTTGATCATTATTCAGTTTCCGATGTAATTAAATTGGCCATTTAACAGCGTTATTAATTACAAATCAAACGTGAAGCGCTGTCACTTGCCGAAATTCATGTTCAACGGCCCGAAAATAAGTTGTGTTTGTAGCAGTCTGTATCACCCAGTCCCTCATAAACCTATCCGTTACTCGATTATTTTTCTAGGAACTGGGTGATCCAGACTGCACCTGCGGCCTCGCTTCGTAGGCTCGATCATTTACCGACCAAATTTCCAGTAACGGATAGGTTTATGATCAAATGAGGTCTCGTTGGCAATAAAAACGACGGGTAGTGTTAGAACTAGTGAGTATTGTGAGATGTTATCAGACGTAATGCCTTGAAGACGTGAAAACAAAGATGGCGGCTGAAATACCTTTTATATACTATAATACATAGTCAAGCAGTAGTAAGAAGTTTTATTTTAATCCCTTCAAGTGCCTGTGATTGTAAGAGCCATAATATTAAATTTTAGTAACATTGATTCGAGTACTGTCTGGGGGCTAACGTTAGGTTAAACCTAGGGTGATATCGCAGAATACTGCCCATGCTGATTTAAAGGTTGGAGAAATGTCAACTTCATAGTGGCTGAACAGCTAAAACAGACAGATTGTCGAGGTATAGAATCTGCCAATCTGTTATATGTCAATTTCGTACAATAAATAAAAAAGGCCACAATTTTTGGTCCGATTACGATGAAACTTAGAATATATATTAACGATCAACAGATCTTGAAAGAGCTCGATTTCTGTTCGCACAAGACCGGAACGTCTATGTGAATAATGTATAAAGTCTGTGGATACCGTAGAGCCCACAATTAGTCCGATTTTGACGAAACATAACATAATATATGTTAAGAATCCAAAGATCTAGTGGGAGTTAAATTTTGGTCTGTATCAGTCCGCAACTTATTGGGTTATAGCCCTTGCCTTTTAACTTTTACGCAAAATGTGAATTACACAAAGTTTGTGGACCATCTAAAGCCCCGATGTAGACGAGGCTTAACATAATATTTGTAATTGCTGTGAAATGATTTTTCGTTTCCTGCTGGATATCTTGAAAGCGGCCATACCATCCCGGATTTTTGACTTGCCAATGGATTTTTGTAAAAGAGTAGTCTTCAAGGTGTATGGGTGCGAATTTTGATACTTGTATCCACATCTGAACGATTTCCATGGTTTAAATCAGTTATCTGCTGCACTAACGTAATCCTGTTTGAACGGCTCAATAATTTAAGATGAAACTCCCGGTCTAAGAAAATATGCGAGGAAGTAATTTCATGGCTTGGGCCAAAAAGTTTATATTTTCCCATATCTTGAGGTTGTGACTGGGATATTGACACCCCTCCGTGGTATTTTTGTGGCACTATTCTGGACAGATGTGACACTTTCTTCTAGGCCTTTCTTCGACTTCACGTTGTGGGATCAATTAGTTCAATCATCAATTAACTGACGCTGGAACACCGTTTATGTTGTTACTAAGTTTACATAATTAAACAAATACAGCAAACTACAAAGTTATGATAATACTTTTTGAGTTATTAAAATATCCACGATCCGAGTTTAGCATACTTTACAACTCTGGAACACCGTTTATGTTTTTACTAAGTTTATATAATTAAACAAATACAGCAAACTTCAAAGTTAAGTCTAAGAAAACTACAACATCTATTATAAAAACTTTAGGCGTTATTAAAATATCTACGGTCTGAGTTTAGCATCCTTTACAACTCAGACCTAACGGGTTAAAAACTACCGAGAAGGCTACGGTGTTCCCCCTCGCGGGGGACTAATCCGTGCAAGAGATGACTGGACTATAGCACCCTACTTCCAGCAATGGATACTGACATAACTATCGGTAAGTTAGTCTAAGATAGTAGTAAAATAATGCAAGCTACTTCATTACCCTAGTTTTCGTCACACATCATGTAGGTAAAGAATTTCTATGTTAAACAGAACACCTTTCTTAATACTAAAATAAACCCTATAGTATTATATTTCTTGAAGCAACATCTAGCCGTTGCTAGGATAGTCAGTAAATTCCCGAACATATACGTACGTTATCGCCCTTTACCACAGACAAGTGAACAATAGAGTTATCAATTCGAAGGCTGTGACACAAACGCGATGATATTTTCTATCGAGGAATCTGAGAGGTCCCAAACTGGGTCATTAGCCAATCGAAATTAGTTCCGAAATATGCAGGGTATTACGTGAAGTGCTTGATAAAGTGTACGGAATTAAAGCGAGATCACAACTTCTATTGAAGATGATGACAAGGTCGCGACGTTTGATCAATCTGTCAAAAACTTGGTTCAGACTGGGTGATTCAGCAGATAATGTATAACAGCTTTGCAATGCATTAATTTGTAAGTTGATTTATTTAAATTTGTATGATTCAAGTAGCAAGGAAATTCTTAGAAACAATTAATGAAAAAATCATTTTGAATCTTATATTAGTATTGTATTTGAGTTACCCAGTATTATTGTTGGATTCCATTTCGCTTTGTAAAAGTTAATATATTTTCGCTCGCTTTTAAAAAGTTACAGTTACCTACAATTTCGATGATACAGGCTTTAAGTGTATATCTACATTATAAATGACAACGGTCTGATTGCAAACATCTTTAAAATACCACTGTAAATTGAACTCATCATTCTTCTATTAGTGTTTAACGTCTGCTTCCACTGATGGTGATATCGCAGACATGTTATTTTATTTTATTATGGTTAGCGCACGCGCAGTGATCTTTCTTGGGGGCCAAATCGAAGTACCCGGTATAAAGCCACGAGGTGTAGCACCATGAGCCTTCTGTCTGACGTGGAGAGCGTCTATGGGAAACCGGTCGCCACATCCTACATACAACCCATGCATCTTTTCTTACTACATATTTCTGTAGCCTTGTGATCGTCTAGAATTTGTCTCTAGCTGTCTTTACTTCTGCTTCACGTTGTGTATTTACTTCTTCCAGTTTCTTAAGACGTTTGTCTTACCAGGAATAATAATGCATAGTTCGCTTCTACATTTTATATAGCTGAATACATATATGGATACAAGCATAGCACAAATTACAATACTATATAGCTAAAACCACTTCTCCACCCTATCCAGCCTCTCGGCTGTCTAGGAACTCAGATGTACCCTCGATCTCTGGAATCTAATGCAAGTCTGACTTACAGGGTTCCCCGGTTTTTTTTAAAGGTAAATGAATATCATGCACAATAACGCGTGATCATGGCCCTGAACTTGTGTAATTAACAAAATGATTGGTTACTTTAAATCAAATGATGCAATTAGAATGATTCCACTCACGTGTAATTCTGGTGGTAAATGAGTGACATATGTTTTCGATAAATAACTCTTTTTTATGTAGCAACTGTCAATTACAGACTAAGTTGATTTAAGTATTTTAAGTACATATCACATATTATGCGAATATGTTATTTCTCGAGCAAAAATTATACTAAAAGTATTACATTCGTCCCTTTCTTTAAGACTGTTTGCTCGGTATTGGGTAAAAGATCCCTTGAATCCTTTACAATAACCATACCAACATCTGTAGAATTATATAACTATTCATAAATGTAGCAGAAATCTAGAAAATCAACATATATCACCTCCCCCACTTGCAAGATTTATGCTAAATAGACAGGTAGGAGACTCTTAAAAACTGCCATGTACTAAACCCTATAATTATTCATGCATCAGGCAAATATAAATGATTACTATACCATAAAACAAAGCTGTGAAAGAAAAACACACATAATCAAAAATCAAAAGTTGCATGCAAAAGTTCTCCAAAAAAAAAAGTTCATCATTGTAAAATACTATGAAAATTCACTAAGCATAAACACAGAAAACACAAATTGTCTTTTTAAAATCTTCAAGTGTCCTAATTTCAAAACACTATAACACATCACATAATATTTATAAAGTTCAGGTTTCACTTAAAATTCTGTCTCAGGAAATGTCAATTTGGTAAACTGGTAAACCATTTATTCTTCTTGGATTGGTATTGGTCTGTTCAAGCTACCATAGTATCAAGTGGAATCTTTCTTTTTTTCTTCTAAGTATGATTGGTTTGTACAATTTTATCCGTCAATCAAACATGGCATTGCCATCCGACCAAGAACTAACTATTACTATTTTTTTAAAACTTTATTTTTGATATTAGTCTAACATTATTATTTCGAAATTTTTTTAACAAATCTTACTCTTAATAAAAAATAAACTTTATTTAAGTATTAATAAACTTTGATGTGTCCCTTTAATTATAAATCTTCAAACTAATTTTGACCTCTTGACCTAACTCGATCAGTAATGGACAATTTTATAATTATGTTTATGTTTTATAATTTCCGTTTCTGTTTTAGAATTCCTACACTGTTATTTTATATTTCACCGTCAGTAATGTGACCTTTTTGACCTAATCATTTACAATTTTGTATTTCGTTTTGACTACTATTTCCTCTTTTACATGTCAACCAAAACAACTATATTGTTATCATACACCACTAAATGTCTAAAACAAGCAGGGCCTTTGCCTATTTCAACACTAGTGTGATATAACATTATCGAGAATGTCAATCAAATATGGCCAGTA